TCTCTTCACAAATATATGTGAGTTCCACAAAATATGAAAGGTTTGTGTGCACTATAGTAACATCTGCCTGACTACACTACCCTAAAGTTACCCATGTACCATTCATGATAAAACATATACTCATGAATTTTTATCCAACCACATAGTTTTATTGCAATTCTTGTGTATAGTTTTATTGGGCAGGAAATTCTTCATCTAATCATGTACAACTTGACTTTCGAGCCATAAGAATATTCCCTTATATGCGTCTATTGTCAGCCATCACCGATCACCTATAAAAGTCGCATATGGACTATGATGTATTCAATATCATAGTTGGGCGAAACTTGGACGTAGAGAGCTGAAACTTCGAGATATAACTAATGATTATCGGCTCCATAAATGCTAAAACTTTTCTGCTAAATCACTGTTTCTTTCCATATTGATTTGATACAAATCCCCCACCATGTGCTCTTCACATTGTGGATACTACCTGCAAAATCATCGCTGCCCATATCTCGATCATGTCGAGATGAAATAAAATTCCAAGTATAGGGTTTGAAAGAGCAAAATTCGCTCAACAAAATCTATTAGGTCACTATATCCAGGAATATAGCTTAACAGACATCCGTAGGACCAACTTTCAGCACTATCCTTAGGACCAAGGGTCACTAGCATGCACAGAGGAAAATTTTTATTACATTGATCAACAATTTAAAAAAATATATAAGCCGATGCAGCAGCGCAACACGAACAAATATACATAATTGAATTCATTTTTGTTATATAATGTGAAAATGCGGAAGTTCACAAAATTTGCATATTTGTTGGTTTTTTGCAATTTCTGGATTTCCTAGCTAAAATTGTGAGATTTATATGTTCACCTACGAACAACGTGAAAGGTTGATTTTTTCACACATCAATATAACTCGTTGAGCTCCACAAGATAAAATATCTTTCAGTCGACACAGAGATAGTTGTGTCTCTTTCGAAGGAACTCTATGAAAATGGCCAATAGCATTTGAGGACCTAAGGGTACCACCGAAATAGTAGAACTTGAGGACACAAGGTTACCTCCCAATAGTAGGGCTTGAGCACCCCAGGGTACCCCCAATAGTAGAACTTGAGGACCCAAGGGTACTCCATAATAGTAGAACTTGAGGACAAGGGGGTACCCCCTAATAGTAGGACTTGAGGATCTAAGGGTATCCTCAATAGTAGGACTTCAGGGTCTTTAGAGTATCCACCTAGAGTAGCATTTCAGAACCTGAGCTTATCTGTGACTAATAGGGATTGAATGAATGCTTGGAGTTCCCCTGAAAATAGCTACTTTAAACTTTGAATTTCTTAAAGTTAAAGTGTTAAAGTGAATTACTTTAACTTTAAATTTTAAAGTTTAAAGTGGTACTTTAACTTTAAATTTTAAAGTTTAAAGTGGTACTTTAACTTTAACTTTTAAAGTAAAGTTAATTGCCACCCCTAGCCGCTGTGCCCCCTCAGGAATATATGAAAAAACGAATATAATCGAAACAACTATTTCATTATGTAATCATCTGTCTTTCCATGTTATAATAGCATGTTACAACATTTATTCCTGTTTTTCACTATCCAAATGATTTTTTGAGAAGAAACATTTTTTCATATATCCCTGAGGGGGGGGACCACAGCTAAAAATTTGACGAAAAATTGAAATAGATGGAGCACTTTGAAACACATATCAATCGACTCAGATTTTTGCGCTGATTTCAAATATGATATTTGTTTGAAGACAAATGCGAACTATTCTGACCGAAAACCTTGAACTACGGATCAAAACAGCTCGAAATTAGGGGTCAAACTGCAATGACCTTCAGATTGTGCTTAATGGCCCACGTTTTGGATTTTGAAAACTAGCTGGTTTTGTAGAACTTGAAAATCTCAATCGAATGGTGTATGAGGCCCATTTGGTGAAAGTTGCTTATATGAAAAACCAATCATATAATTGTAAAGTATAAAAAATATAAGGTCATAACAGATGTAATGAATGATGAAGATTTGATGTGATAAAAATGAAAATAGTGTACTAAATACATGATTTTATCAGAAAAATGTAGCCTGAAGAAAGATCTATCGAAATAACTTTGAATGACTCTTCCTTTTCGATATTTTCTTTTCGATTGATCAACCATATAGTTAGAAAATATTATTGACCAATCGATGGTTATTGATATGTGAATGGCAAACCTTGATGGCATCTAGAATCCCATGAAAATACATCGAATTTAGCAACAAAATGATCAGGGACTCATGATCTATATATTCATGTATGAATCAACTGATTTCGGATGTGAAAATTAAAAGGGGCCAAAATGTGTTCTTATAGGGACCCGTCCTTTGTATTTTACATCTTTCAAATAAAGTAGCAGATTTGATGAAACAAGCAAATTCAGAAACCAAAGACATTCACAAAACTCTATTCGCGCTGAGGCTTATTCCTATGTAAAGTTTCAAGTCGAAATTCGACAATAAATTTTTTTAATGTTCGTGGCGGGACCCAGGCACTCACCAAAACCCATACCTTACAAGAGGAGTATTTTCGTAACAATAAGCTATCTACCCAAAATATTTTCAGCGTTTTCATAACTCTTTGGGAGCTACATAATGGAAATAGTTTCAACGCAAAAGCGATTGAACAGTTGGTGACCTTTCCTCTTAAGTCAATTTAAACTTCGACAACTAATAATATTGTTAAATATCGTAGTAAATCGTCAAAGAAGTATGCTTATTGATAATTTTTCGCAGGTTAGGTGAAATTTGCTAATATAATCTACTTGTCTTATCTGGATTACTGTCGAAAAAATACACCAGTTACGTTTATCAATTAACTTCGAATGAACGGGCTATTCACTAAAGACTATTGAACATCAATAGCAATGATTAAAAAAAGTTAACTATCGATTTCAAACTGAGTTAAAATGCTCTACTTTAAGATTCTCGTATTCTACTAAAATGCTGATATGAGAATTCAGAATATCTGATCAGATGAGATTGGATCAATATAGATATGATTTAAATTCGTAGCTCATACTGACATCGTTATCTACAGCATGAAGATAGTTATTGTGTAGATGTTGATTTTTCCATGAAAAAAATTGAAACTAAACGATATATGATTGTTTTTATACGTTAATGCGTTAATTAACGGTGAATTAACGGTTAACTCAAAACCGTTAACGTTAATATTAACGTTAACGAAACCATTAACGTTAATATTAACGTTAACGAAACCATTAACCTTTAATATTAACGAATTAACGATTAACGTTTTTAGTTAATTAACGGCGTTAATTAACTCACGTTAACTTAAATGGTCCACCCCTACCCCCCACACCCATACCCACACCCATACCCACACCCACACCCACACCCACACCCACACCCACACCCACACCCACACCCACACCCACACCCACACCCACACCCACACCCACACCCACACCCACATGAATAAGCAATCGAAGTTTTGAAGATTAGTTAATCAAAAAAGAGCAAAAAAGACAATGTAAGTATGCATATGTTGAAGCTCAAGAGTGTTAGATGAAAACAACGAGTGTAACAGTGATATATTGGAGAATCAAATACGTCTTTTAATTATCTCACAAAACGAACAAATTATGCTGGCTGAATAGAATCGGTGGAAATAAAAAGGATGTATTTGTTCCCTCTGTTAGAATGCTACGAAACCTTATATTCATCGTGATAGTGTAGAAATCTTTGTGTTTCTCTTTGAATGCTATGAGTTTGCGTAGACTAAACAAATAAATTGGTTATGCGCCAAAGATAAGAATATCTAATTTCATTCTTTCTTATCTGTTATTGTGCATTACTCAATATCGTCAACCATTCACGTATTTTCCTAACTTTCTTTTGCGATGAGTCTTAAGAGGATTTTGCAACGTATTCAAAGTAACGTTCTCTTATCAGATAAATGAATGCAAGCATAGGTTTTATAATGGAGACATTGAAATTAAAAAGGCCGTTTTTATGAGTATAATTTGTCCGATCTCAGTTGAAAGTGTTCTTCGAGGTGTCTGGAGTCATCATCTCTTTAGAATAATTCCGTATATCGAGTACTCTGGTTCTGAATAATTTTGATATTGTTACATCGTCAATTTCAGAAAATATTTCAAGTTCGTAAAAATTTATTTTAATTACTGTATCGTTTATTAACATGTTGAAATGCACATTTTTTTTCTTTTTTTCTCTTCAATTATCTTGTGCCCATCTCTATATTATTGATTTTAGACTCCGTAATCATTTGGGTGGACCGTGCATTCAGCCATCTATTCTTCTTATGACAATGCCAGTTTTTTTTCTTTCACGCAGTAGCAATTGACTCTTTTTTCGTAGCGTTTTCATTTTTCTTCATACGTAGCTTGACATATTTTTTGGCACCTTATTGCATTTGTTTTTCGTTTAGCCAGTTTTGACCTATTATACGTAGATTATAGATCGACAACCCCAGGCAAGTGTCTGATTACGCGTCAGTCTTTAAAGTTTCATTGCTTCCATCGAAATCTTTCCCTCTGAAGGTATGGGTGTAGGTCTGAATGGAGAGAACACACCCACATGGTCACCGACACCCACCCACACCCAGGTCAAGATTAAAACTTAAATCCTACCATTAGTTTGAGCACTTAGCTCAAACCCAAACCTAAACTCAATACCCAAACTCGAACCCAAACTCAAACCAAAGCTCAAATACCCAAATCCAAACTCTCAAATGGTTTGGGTTTGGTGCATGTCCAGTCGTGAGGGACGTGCAAGACGTTACAGACTAGACCTGACGGGTGTTGCGGACATTTCGGACTAGTCATATCGGTCGTCTTCCTTTATGTTTTGCTTACTTGGGTACACTGTGGTGTTTTGTACGTTTAGAAGTTGAAATCTATTGGTGTAGACTGCTGAATTGACCATTATATTTTTTTTGTTTAAGATCATATATTTATTTATCATTCTGTCAACTGTATACGGGCTAACGAATGTCTACAACTTTAGACGCATCAGGAATGCATTTATTTTTTGGTGAGAATGTAGAGGGTACCAGTGTTGGTGACGATTTTGTGAGATTAATTACAAATGAAATTGTAGAAATTTTAAAACTACATGATAATAAAATTGAAGGTCAAATCGTTAATAATTTGCTGGAAAATGGTCGACAATCATTACTCAAATATAAAGATGAAATTATATCGAAAACATATAAAGAAGTAATGAATGGTAATGATAACAAATTGATGATCTCATTAAAAAAGTATTTTCGACAACAATGGGAAACACAATATGGCGCATCTAATCAATGGTTTATTTCATTTCTTAAACAATATGAAAATGGAGAAAATCATGATACATATGAATGTGTTTTAATTCGTACAGTTGAATATGGAAGCATGTATATGAAAGATTGTCCAATACTATCAATTGTTTTACAACTTCTTTTCGAAAGTATTGATGATGATTGCTTGAAAGAAACAAATGTATTCGATGATCTGTGGTTCACAATAACCAATGATGGTTTAAAATCAATAACAAAATATTCTGATTATATTGTTAAAAGTGTAATGAATGAACAATTAAAAAGTCAGTCAATATTGTTTCAAGCATTACGTGAATATTATCGTGAAAATGTATTTTCATCACTAAAACAAAGCAATATTGTAGACAGGAAAAATTTATATGAATTAGCATTAGATAATGTTGCTGTACATGGCTGGTTGACTGATATGAAACCTATCGAAGATAACGTGTCACCGAAATCTTATCGAATGTTATTAGACAAACTTCATTCTTTTCATAAGAAGCAAAAACCACCACAAAAGGAAAAATCGAATGTGACACAAGTTCGCCCGACAAAAGTTGATTTAAAACGAGGACCAACGTTAACCGACAACGATACAAAAGTTAAGAGAAAGCAAGGTAATCTGAATCTAATTGATAGTTTTCCTAAAATTTTTTCACTCAGGATTCTGCATGCCACTAGTAGTGAAATGCTCTGGCTATAATATATAAGAGTAACTGATAATCAAGTTTCTTTGTTCTAAGATGAAGAATACAGAAATTTGAATCTTTTTAACTGGAATCATTCAGTATTACAATCATATATCTCCATTATCATTTAAGAAGAAATATGGAGCTAAATAGTGACCATGTGTGGCTTCCATATACGTAAACAGTAAACTATCCTATATGCCTCGTTACAATTAATGACGACCGCATTTGTTTGAGTTGGGTATAAAAAAAGCAAATTAATGTGTGTTTGAACGGATAGAGATTGAATATTTGAGTTTTGGTGTCGCTTGTAGGCGTTGCATGAATATAAATACTGAATGGCATAAATACTCCACCACAATTTATTTTTCTTTTGTTACCAAGAGCATGACATATGCTAATAAAATAAACGGACACAATAAAGCTTTTAAATTAAAATCATAGCAAATTTATACGAAAACTATACGTACAGAGAACGTTTTTTGTTTTAATTGTAATTTGTTAAGTGAACCAATTGTGATATGGTCATTCAAAATGTGAAAATTATATAATTTCTGATACAGTTTTCTGTTTGAAGGATATAGTATACTACGTCGTTAAAAAGATTTCATTATTTATTAAGCTAAGAGATCCAGAGATGCCTTATCATGACGGATTGTTATTGACTTAGCGAATTTCTTTTTTCTTAACCAACATTACTAAGTGACTATGATACTCGTCATGTACGGTAAAGATAGTGCCCTCAAAACTCAATATCATCTTACTATGAACTAACCTTGAGCGATTTATCTACGACTAGTACTCTCCGTCGGACAAAAAAAACTACCTTTTTCCATTTCATTTTTGCAATACTTAATACATTATTTTAAAAAAAAACAAAATATACTACAATAAGCAGCGTGAAAAGAACTACAATTTACAAAGTAAAGCTTATTTTAATTGTGTACTTTTTGTTTTCAAAAAAAGCAAAATTCTGTGCGACCAATTTTCGACGCTGCGAAAAAATCATTTTTTTCTATGAGAACGAGAAATTCCTTTTTCCTTATTTCACCTTTTTATCAACTAATGTGTTTTTGTAAAAAAAAATAAAATATACCACAAGATGCAGCGTGCAAAGCTCTACAATTTACATAGAACAGTTTATTGAAATAAGAAAAAAGGAATTTCTCATTGGTGTAGAAAAGTGATCTTTTCGCAGTGTCGAAAATTGATTGCACCGAATTTTGCTTTTTTTGAAAACGAAAAGTACATAATTGAAATAAGCTTTATTTTGTAGATTGTAGAGCTTTTCACGCTGCATCTTGTGATATATTTTGTTTTTTTTTACAAAAGCACATTAGGTGATAAAAAGATGAGATAAGAAAAAATGATTTTTTCGCAGCGTCGAAAATTGGTCGCACAGAATTTTTTTTTTTTTTTAACAATGGATTAAGTGTTGCAAAAATGAAATGCAAAAAGGCAGTTTTTTTTGTCCGAGGAAGACTTTAGATCATTAATCTGATAGCATGCTTAATGTTTGCGATTGATGTCTGCTATTTTATTGGATGTTCATCGTACACATTCTGGAAACAGTCGGTACTTTCTTAATTAGTATTGGTAAGGAGGCCAATGAGTGGCAAGAACTCTGCATGACACTAGCTCTTTGTTCAAAGTTACAACTAATGTCCATTTCAGAGTTAAATGGCCATGGGCATTTTTTGAATAACTTTTGATAAGAAGGAGATAGAGATCTGCGGTTTCACCGTTGGAAAGAGCAGATGACGACGCATCGAATTATATACACAAAGATTTTTCTAGCTACTTTTCTACAGATTTTACATAAAACTTCAAGAAAAACAGCATGCTTCTCATGGTCACGATAGTAAATTATTGATTTTCAGGAGTGCGCTAGAATCGCCAAAGGAAGGGCTACAAAACTATATCAAGACTATGTTCCTAACTACTACCAGTATGATATCAAAACCATCGGAACATAATTTACCACCTCATTTTTCTCAACAAAATAATCGAAAAATGTAAATTTTTGTAGTATTTTGATAGAAAAGTCACTTTTTGAACGTAGGAGAAAAAGCAATTCTTTGAAACCGTTTGACTAAACCTTTAGGAAAGTAGCTAGAAAAATCTTTGTATATATAATTCGATGCGTCTTCATCTGCTCTTTCCAATGGTGAAAACCGCAGATCTCTATCTCGTTCCTATCAAATCTTATTCAAAAAATGCCTACGACCATTTAACTCAGAAGTGGACATTAGATATGAGCGAGAACAATCATTTTTGGTCCCAGTCCCGGCCCAGGCCAGAAAATAATTTTTGGTCCCAATCCCGGCCATGGTTCTGGTCCCGGTCTTGGTCCCGGTCAAAGTTCCGGTTGAAAATAACCAATTGGTCCTAGTCCCATTGAACAAAAAACTTGATCTCGATCCCGAACAAAAAAGAATTGGTCTCGACGAAAAAAAAAGTTGGGCCGGGTCCCGGTCCCACCGGGACTGAGACCGAGACCATGTTGCCCATATCTAGTGACAACTAATATGTGAAAGATTGACTGGGATCTTCATTCTAGGCAGGATTTGCAATACTCTGTACATAAGTCGGTCATGTGGTACTCTTAAAGTGTGTTCTAACCGGAAAAGATGAATCCTCCTGCATATAAAGAAATAACAATTCGATTTGTTCGAGGTGTTTTATATTACGTGAGTGTGAGTGCCAACAACTTTTCTTGGTTACTCACAAATTTAGTATTCTTGCAGCAGTTCAATGAGTAAATTAACACTCGAAGATCTGGTGTCGGGAATGTTTTCCAGTTTTGCACAGCCCACTATGATTATAGGGACCGTTTAGTGTGAGGGTGACAGTGCAGATGTGCGCGCGAGAATTTCCTTAACCTCACACCCACACCCTATCATCAATTATGGACATCTCGTAAGATCACTGTCGCGTTTGAAAAATGCAGAATGAATTAACTGTGTCAGCCCGGGAGCATATGATGCGTCGTATTAAAGAAGAGTTACTACAACATGCTCAGCAGTTGAAGAAACTGGATTTTCATTTGAAACGTCCCGATAACGTATGTGTTGCACAGGAAATTGTTGAGAGAATTGAACCTATGAGTATGTTGGAACTTAGTATTTTAGAGCTCGAGAAGTACAGGATTAGCATAATCAATCGGTTTCTTCAAACTACACAAGGAGCTTTCGATCGTATCCAAAAGACTTTTAATTTGCAAGATAAAGCTGCGTATAAATTAAAACAGGAACTGAAAAACTTGAACAGGTTAAAAGAGAATATGAGAAATTGCATCCAGCTCTCAAATATTTACAAGAATAGGAGTATGCAAGTATCGATCAATTGAATCTTGAGATCGAAAACCTGAAGATTAAGCAAAAACAAGTGCTTGATAAATTAGATGTCATGAGACGTGAAAAAGAAACTATGTTGAAGATATTGTTCGAAAATATATAGTTCTGACTTCTACAAACCCAGATGAAAGTGTAATGGGAAGAGTGGCGGATAAAGTAGCAAAAGCATCGCAGAAAAGACAGTTGGAAGCGAATAGTTTTTTCGAAAAAAAACGATATTCAAGTATCGATGATTTATAAGCAGCGAAACTTAACATCACGAAAGAATATGACAATCAATTACAGTTAATTCAAGATCAATGCACAGGATTGAGTGATTCATTGAAGCGCCTTGGATTGATAAGAAAAGAATATGATTTGTTATTTGAAAGACGTGATGCCGTTTCTCCTGAAGAAATACGCTTCTTAGAAGAGAAAGGACAAGAAAGTTCTGAGGGTGGGTGTGGAGTCCAATTTCATCCACACCCAGTCCCGCATGCACATCTTGAAGACTCATAAAATGCTATTTCTTCTCATTCTTCTCCAGACAATCAACGTGAACCTGATGAATCTGATGACTCGGATGGTTCAGAGCGTATTGCTAGTGAAGTTGAAGTCGATGGTGCTGCTAATCCACGAATATTGAATACAAATCAAATATTTATCGCTGGTTTATCATCGACTATGCCCGAAAAACTTCTGTTCGATGTACTTTGGGATATATTTTCTACTGTTGGTGAAATTAAAGTAACTAAAAAGAAAATTCTATGAAACGAATTTTAAGTTGCATTATTTCGTTTTTAGATTAATAGACGAACAAGAAAGCCTATGATCTATTTATTTAAACAAAAAGATAAGATGTCTCAACTGACTGGTAATGCAATGGTCACGTTTAACGAAGAAGAATCAGCAATCAAAGCAATTGAAAAATATAATGGTAAGCTGGAGTGAATTTGTGCGATCATGAACACAATATAAGTGTTGTTTATGTTTCAGAAAAACGTATATCAATATTGAATAATGCACGAATTCTTGTTAAGCCGTCGAAAAAGATGTGTACGAGATCAGAAATATTACCGACGTCAACACCAACACTTAGATCAGGACCAGTGCCGCAAGAATATCCGGGAAAAGGGAAAGGTAAAATTCGTGCAGAAGGTAGTAAAGAATAACTGATTGTTTACCATCGAAGAATGATATAGAGGAGCGAATCCAAAGAAAAAATAATGTCGACGATTTGATCTGCTAACGGTAACTTGACATCCATTGAGGCCCAACTTTTTTCCTGTCTAATTGATTGACATTTCTCATTTTTGACCGGTTACCTTGGAAGCCTTGGTGATCGTTCTTCAAGTTTTTCTTTAGATCCTGAATTCAAGATCTTTTTTACCATATTGATTGATCGTTATGTCCATTTCTGCTCGTGTTTGGGAAAATTTTTCGCACTCACGAAGCCAGTCTCTTCATAAAATTCCACTGTGTCAGGAAGCAACCTTATTTCCTTATAAATGAAGTGACGATTTGTGGAACTTTTCACATTTTTCAGGTGGGCATTTGGAATATGACATACATCTTCACTTTTGATCATCAGTACAAGTAAAATTCTAAGCTATAGAGATAGGACGATAATACTCTTCTACAGTATCAAGTTATGAATCTTAAGAAAGAAAAGTGGATATGGGTATGGGTATAGATGTGGGTGGGAGTGTTCAGTTCAATTTCATTCACACCTAGTCCCGCATACACACCTTGAAGACTCACAAAATGCTATTTCTTTTCATTCTTCTCCAGGCAAGCAACGGAAGCCTAATGCATCTGATGACTTGGATGGTTCAGAGAGTACTGATAGTGAAATTGAAGTCGATGGTGGTGCTAATCCACGAATATTGAATACAAATCAAATATTTATCACTGGTTTACCATCGACTATGTCCGAAAAACTTCTGTTCGATACACTTTGGGATATATTTTCTACTGTTGGTGAAATTAAAGTAACTAAAAAGAAAATTCTATGAAACGAATTTTAAGTTGCATTATTTCGTTTTTAGATTAATAGACGAACAAGAAAGCCTATGATCTATTTATTTAAACAAAAAGATAAGATGTCTCAACTGACTGGTAATGCAATGGTCACGTTTAACGAAGAAGAATCAGCAATCAAAGCAATTGAAAAATNTTATTTAAACAAAAAGATAAGATGTCTCAACTGACTGGTAATGCAATGGTCACGTTTAACGAAGAAGAATCAGCAATCAAAGCAATTGAAAAATATAATGGTAAGCTGGAGTGAATTTGTGTGATCATGAACACAATATAAGTATTGTTTATATTTCAGAAAAACGTGTACCACTTTTAAAGGATGCTCAAATTCGTGTCAAGAAATCAGAAATGAAAACTGATAAACAAACAGCAGCGCCTCTGGCGCTTCTACAACAGCTGCCAGAAACACCATTAGCACCAGTATCACGACCAGGTAGTGAGCATTTACAAAAGAAAAAAGGTTTATGATCGGACCGCTTGTGGTTAACTTCAAATCAAAAGTCTGAGGTCAAACTATCGTTTCCGGTCAGCTTGATGGACACCTCAGTTTTTTAGTCGGTTTGAGAAAAAACCGTATTTGCTCTAATCGTAAGGTGGAAAGCTTACCGTGCAAGTATTGGCTGAATACTTGAGCAATTTTGCACTTTTCCCGTTTTGAGAAACACAAGGACAGCGAACTATAGGTTTGGGGCTCCTTGAGACTCCACCAGTGCCCAGAATATCACAGACTACGACACATTTTCACGGAAATACACGCAGTCCTACTTAGTCTCATGGAATCCAGCAAAGTCCAATAATTCGTCATGAAATATAAGTCCTGTTTTTATCTGAAAAACAGCGGATTTGATTTATTTTATGACTTATGATATGTTATACATTGGCAGGCCTGTCAGGCGCAAAAGGGACAATCCGCCTTTTTGATGATAAATTGTTTTGGAGAGAATCGAATTTTCTTGATCCCAGCGCTGGCTGACCTTTCTTTTGAAAAAGGCGTCTGTATTGGTTAACTAAACAATTATTTAATCTTCAGTTGCATTTATTTGTATTCTAAAAAATATGTCTACTGAGAATCCGGGGAGCTGCTGCCAGAGATCCTTGGCAGATCATTGCAGAGTAATTCTTTTTTCTTCCTTAGGAAACTACTGAATACTAGTAGCCACATATATCGAGAAATCTTCTGGATCTTTACAGGATTTTATCAAAATCATTTTTAGTTCGACATTACATTTCAAAAAGAATCTGATTGAGAAAGTTCATAAATTCTGGTAGGAACGGGATCTCAATATGTCCAAAACCTTTGCATGATTTGAGATAGAATTTCAATTATTTATGGTTCAAAGAACTTTCAATAACTTATGTTGTGTCTGACTAAAAACAAGACGATTTTGCTGAATTCATGAGGAAATTCTTGCCCTAAAATTTTGTCAACAACTTTTCTATTTGAAAAGCAAATGAACTGTGTTCCATTCAATGCAGGTTTGTGCGCTGATTCCAAATATGTCCTTCGTTTTTCAAAAAACTATTCCCAGCCAAAAGAAATTCGTTTTACCTGAACAACCAAGGGTTTTGGAAAATCTCTATATGATTCCGGGAACATTTATGATGATTTATGCTAACCGTGCTAATATTGGGCATATAGAAGAACATCTTGGTAAACTTTGAATGAGTTTTAAAGTAGGGTGTGAAAGAATCGCTCATTTTACTAATAAAGCAGTTCGAAAAAAATCACTGTGATGAAAAAAGAGAAAATATTTCGTACTCCAGTCGAACTTCTTTTCTCATGCGCATGAGCTACTTGAATTTCTTGAGCAAGAAAATCAGCTCTGTAAACACTTTTTGAGGTCTGCGCATTAAGAAAAAGGTTCATCCAGGGTAGGTAATGTCACTAGTAATCGAACATTTCTTTTTATTAATTGGTAGTAGACGTCAAGCAAATGTATTATATATTGTTTTCGGTTGTCACTTCAGTGGATAACATAAGAAAAACCTGAGTTTTGTGTGATGTCGGTATGTCCAGACTAATTTTTATTCATTAGTTGATGTTCCACTCTAAATAAGCTTTGTGATAAAAGTTTTAACTCCGTTAAATATTTCACAGTTCGAATTACATGCAGCACTATTTGAATCATGTAAAATTACACTTTTGATTGCTCCCTAATGTCCACTTGGCTGCCCACTATGCCTGATCCAAAAACGCCAACATAAAAAATAGTCAGAGCAGCAGATTCTATGTAGTTCACAAAGCCACTAATTTCAAGTTTATTTAAAATGAATTTGAACAAATTTTTAGCTTCCTTTGACACACGCATAGAAAATCTAAAAAGTCATTTTGATTAAAACGCTAGATCGGACAGTTTTTCTCATTTTCAAAAATTGTCTAGTCTTAGGACTAGGAGCGTAATCTTATAGAGATTATCGCACTCGCCGACCATGTGGAGCGTCATCGGGCAGATTTAGGAACCCCTTGGTATCAACTTTAGAGTAATAAAGCTTTCAAGTAGATAAATAAACGGCTATGGATATTGCGCCAAAGGTTCAATAACCTAAGGGTATAAAAGACTAGATTATAAAAAGGTTTGGTTGAAAATTCTGAACTCTTTTTATTGTGAAAACCCCATCGATTCAAAAACACTTTCATTGAAAAACCCTCAAAAATGTTTCAATCGCTTGAAATACCCTTGTTAGGTTCATGGTCCATCTCTGTGAATACTGTGGTTGATTAATCTACGCCTTTTGTTGCAGTAGGCCCCGCTCAACCCGACGGACCAGTATGCGTGTTTTGGGATATCGAAAATTTGGCCATTCCTTCTGGACAGAATGCCTTTAAAATTGTCATGAAGCTACGGCGACGGCTGATTGTCGACCGGAAACTAGCGGAGGGTAGTTTTACGGTTTACTGCAATATCAACAGCATATCACAACAGCATCAAAGAGACCTCGACTACGCCAATGTGCATATTAACCATATGGCAGAACGCAAGATTGGAGCTGCCGATCGAAATATTCTCTTGGATCTGCAAAAGTTCAATTTACAACACAAGACACCTGGCACAATAGTGCTTTTAAGTGGAGATATCGACTTCATCAAATGCATAAACGAGCTTCGCTTTCGCCATAAACATTATGTGATTGTCATCTACAATCCACAAGCGAAGCCCGAGCTCTTGGCGACAGCTAACGAAGCTTGCCCTTGGGACGAATTCACTGAGCAGTGTTGTAAAGAGAGCAATATTACTCCCTCTAAGAAAGAACCCACGGTTCCGAAGGCGAAGAATGCAAAGAAGGAAGTTATAGGGCCTCAAACCGCTGCCTTCACGGTGGAAAGCAATGTCGTAAGGACTTCCAGTCCTATACATGTCCCTCGCAACAACCTTGAACGCACTGCGTCGCCAATACTCAAGCCATTGATGGAGTCGGATTTTAGTAAGATTACGACGAAAATCGTTCATGGTGTATTAGAATCGACTTCATCTGGTGCGTCTCAGCTCAGTACAGGAAGGCCCCTCAAGTGTTCCAGGAAAACTAAGATCTTGAAGAGTGAAACACCTTTCAAGAGCAATCAGGACAAAAACCAAGAGTGGTATGTTTCGAAAAAATGCTAATGGTGAAGTTTTAATGTATAGTGTAATTGAATAATACTGAGGCCAGTGAAAAAGTTCTGTGGCTTCAAAAACTTTATCCATAGAAAGACTTTTAATTTTCGTCCCTATATCAAGTGTTTGAGGTTGTCATCACGATATTCGATACAGATTTTTCTCGTTTCAATCCACTTTTGCGATGTGTTTTTAAAATCGTTAACAGATATAGAATCGAATTCATTGGTTATTACTTTTGCCAAAATGTTTTATCTGGATATACGTCCAATTTATATTTAAGATAACTGTACAATCAAAAATCTGGAAGGACAATGTAATGCGAACATGTTGGATGAGCTATACCTTTAATGCTTCTTGACGTAGTTAGCTATATAGTAAGGTGCTCCCAGAGCAAAAATCGAGCAAAATTTTTGATCAGCTTATATTTTCACATGGCTGGATAGAGCTCGCCTAGCAGATCACGAATATCACCTTTGAAACGTTTTTCGATCGAGGTTTGGTTGAGAAATCTTCGAAATACAAATAACCCTCAAAAACTGCCTTTTTGAGTATTTTTTAAGAAATTTCAAGTTTTCACTCATTTAGACTAATGGCCAATTTTTTAAACCAATTTATTCGAATTCAGCGTCAAAAGATGAGTAGAACTGTGTATGTTTCCAAATATTTCATCGTTTCTGTCTCCCACAGCAAAGCCGACAAGTTGAATCAGGCGACTCAGTGACCCCTCGTTCTCCCAAACTTATCTAGTCTTTTGTTTCAAAGCATTCCTCCAACTTTCATATATCATTCGAACTGTTAAGTGAAGGTGAAAAAGAAGTTCGTATCGGTTAAAAAAAAATATTGCTTCGTTGTTGAGAAAATCGAAATTTTCAAAGATAGCGGCAAAATGGTACATAATCGGTTCGTATTTGTCAATTTTGTCCACCAGACTTTTATTTATGAGCAAAATGCATGTGATATTCGGAATCAGTATGAAATTCCAAGTTGCATAACGTATGTTTTAATGAAAAATATTTTCTATCACAAAAACACCTGTACTCCCCTTCAGTTCTTTTTTCTCATAATTTGATCCGTGTTCCCGGACCCACCCCCCCACCCCCCTCCCCCCCCCCCCCCCACCCCCCCCCCCCATCCGCTGTCACGCCCCACTCTCCTCATCCCTCGTGCTACACTA